GCAAACTCCGGATCCGCGGCATTTATTGCTTGGTCGTCGATCCTTCGATTTCTCAGCAACAACTCAAGATCCAGTCATCGGAGACTGCAAGCAAGTAAAGGGATCTCAAGATCACGAACAACAAAGGGCTCAAGGACAACACGCCAAGGCAACCAACACGGCCCGGACAAGATCCGGCCACCGGTGATCTGCACTCGAATATTCGTGCAGAACCCGGATCCCCACTATCGACAGCTGAGCGAAGACTTCCGTGCTGCTGATCACATCCCTGCGTCCCGCCATGACGCCCGATTTTCATTCAGTTGGACAATCTCCTGGTAGTTACCGGAGGAGCAGATCCAGCCTTACCGACGGGTACACAAAGTGATGAAGGTCAGCTGATCACGGATCATAGGAGTACCCCCTCCTTTAGTCGGTGTCCTGGGCACAATGGCAAGCTGGATCCAGCATCTTCGCAGATTTTGCTGATCAGGCTCCATCACAATGGTTCACGTGCCCGGATCTTCTGATGACTCGGGATTTCACCGTGAGTCTCAAGAAGATGTTCAAGTGAAGACGGAACAAGGGAACTAGATGTCGTCGGATGCCAGAACGACGGCAACATCGCCGAACGCTAGATCTGCGGATCGGCAGAGTGCCAGGAGGCACTCTGCGACGGAAGCGAGGCCGATCTGGATCCCAATCCAGATCTGGAAGAGAAACCTCATCCTCCATAGATCTCCGACACTGAGGCCGCGGCGGATCCTGACTCGCGTCAAGATCCGCTAACAAAACAAAGGTGAAGGCTGAACCGTATTCATTTATTGATCAAGATAAGCCAACACAATATATGCTCAAGGATCGGGAAGTCTCGGAATCCGAAGTGAGAAAGCCAAGATCCAAGACTTTGCGGAAGAAGATAAAGGCCCCTGAGTATGAGGATGATGGAGATCAAGACGGATCTAGGTGGTCCGTCGAGGATCTGAAGTACTTGTACCACCGGAAGGAGCTACGCGACTTTGCAAGTCAAGATCCGGTGATGAAGATCCTGAAGCTGAAGCGGATCGCGGAGCCAAAGGATCCAGTAACTGCCCTGGCGATTGTATCCAACAAGCTCGACGCATCAACGGTCCTGATCACGCTGCGGAAGGAAGCCGGCATGATCCCCGGATCCTTCGGGACGGATGATCTGTTCGACCTAGATTTGGCCGTGATACAAGCCACAATCCGAGATCTCTTCGGAAAGCTGAAGATCCTGGTTGGCGAGATGCCCCAGATCGCGGATCCGGTATCATCACCCCAGATCGACGTGGTGGACAACCTGACGGTGTCGTCACACTATGCATCCGCGGCCGAAGACGGATCCGACACCTCATCGGAACCCCGGCGCATGTCGCTGGGACCTTCAGGTGCGGCAATGCTGGAGGCGAGATCCAAGATCGGGCGTCCAAGCCCAGCCAGATCTGGCAGTCAGCCTAAGGTATCAACACCGACTGATCAATCCACAATCACTTCGAGCTCGGATCAGTCAGCTGGAACGCTGCAGAAGTTCTTCAACGCCGCGATGGGTCAGTTCCTAGCTGAACAACAAGCAGCAGGTGCGGATCCAGTCGTTACGGAACCTCAGAACGCCGGATCGCGAGATGTCGACATGGTGTCGAAATCGATCATCGGATCGTGGATCCAATTGGGAATATGATCCGGCCGACATCGACTTCCCGGTACCCGCCCAAGCGGCTGTAGCCACTGCCGCATCCGGATACACTGGATCTACCGTGATCCAACGAGTCCGGATCTCAGTGATCTCGGATCTGAAGGAATTCTCAGGGAAGGATTCGGACGAGGATCGAGCACGAGCTTGGATCAGCAAGGTCAAGTCGGCTTTCACGCGAGAGCAAGCATCAGACGAAGAGAAATGCTTTACCTTCGCCGATCTGCCTGCGGGATCCGCAAAGAACTGGTACCGCCAACTTAGCAGATCCCCGCGTAATAAGTGGAGCGAGCTGCTTCGCCGTTTCCAGTTCCAGTTTTGCGGACTTGAAGTATCAGTGGCGAGGCAATATTACCATGCCTGTCGCAGATCCGATGAACCGCCGCTGGATTATCTATACCGGCTGAACGTTGCCGGATTGCGTGTGCGACTCAAGATCAAAGATGGTAGTACCAAGGATTGGCGTGAACATGTGGATCACTTCATTTAAACACTGGAGAATTCGGATCTGGAGGATCGGCTGACGTTGTTACGACTAATGGATGCGGATGATCTGGAGGAAGCACTTCGGATCGGGCCAAAAGCCGATAGAAGAAGGCTGTGTTCGGATCCGGCAAGTTCCGACAGAAGGCATCCAAGTCTGCACCGTCGGCTCCGGACAAACAAGTGTGACCGATCCAGATCCAGCCTGCTGACTCCGCATCCAATTCTTCCGATGGATCGGACGGATCCGACTCTGAGATGGATAGGCATCGCCGGACCTACGTTGCCGCAAATCAAGAAGTCTTTCCGAAGGAGGAAAGCGAGACTATCATGCCGGATTCGGGACATCAGGATCTGGGATCCATGAACCATATTCACCAGGAGCACCGATCCAAGATCCAGAGTGATGGATTCAATCGTAACCGATTCTCGCACTGCGGATCCAAGAAGCATTGAAATCTTGGATGTTGGAGACGTGTGACTTGTACCAAGTGCGACAAACGAGGTCATCCGGAGGATCATTGCCTTTTTGTGTGTCGCGGATGTGGCGAGCTTCATGACATGGGCAAATGCCCGATGAAGGAGTTTTACAACCAGATCCGCCAATGGTTCAATCCGACCAAACACATGGGTATGCTGCTGGAAGCTGCCGAAAATATGTTAAACTAGGACGCTCGTTCGGGGTGGAAACCTATACGAGGCGAGCGTTCTAGATATTGCATCTATGCATTTGTGCATATACATCGGTAGATCAAGTTAGCAAGCAGCGAGATCTACCCGATAAGAGACGTGATCTGCATCGAAATCATACCTTCGCGATATCCAGTCTTCGTCAAGCTGATGAATATGCCAGATCCGATGTGATCATGACTGTGGATCTTCATCCACAATAATCCAGAGGTTATTGGAAGCAGAAGGATGAGGATCTGTGGTTCAAGCCTGCGGATCAGGAGACTACAACCGAAATCACAAAGCCGGAACGCGGAGTATCGACGATCCGGATCCGCGCTGACATTGGATCTCTTACCGGAAGAATCCAGCGGATACTGGAAACATCATGCTCCTGGTAAGTGGTTCTGTCAAGACCAAGATCGTCGGCAAGATCCACAATGAGAAAGCGATCTTACTCCTAGATACTGGTGCCGAGGTGTCCATTGTGGATACCGCCTTTGCTTGTAAGGTTGGGTGCTACATCGACTCGAATCAGATCCAAGATTGTGTGGGGATCGGCGATAATGTGTACCGTACGGAAGGAAGAACGCGGATCAAGGTAACTCTCGCAGGATTGTTGGTGTATTTCTTCCATATCAGGGTAGGGGATCTCGCTGGACATGAATCTATCCTAGGCATGGACTTCATGGTCCCAGTCGGGATCGGTCTTGATCTCGTTCACGGATCCATCAGCTTGCCCGACGAAGTCCGGATCCAGCTTAGCGGGAGGCGACAGTTTACGGCGACAAGGCCAGGATCATGAATCTTGGGCAATACCTGAGGATCCAGCCAGGAGAATCAGTGGAGCTTCCCTTACGCCTGAGGGCCTCAGATCATGAGAAATTATGGGTCATCCGTGGAGATCATTGGGTGCCCACGATAGGCCATGGTCCAGGGAAGGTCCGATACATGAGGATCACAAACGTCGGTGACCAGGTGTTGATCCTCCATCAGGACTTGCGGATCGGGATCTGGCTGGCCGGCGATCATGTCCCGCGACTGCCAGGTTTCATCTCAGTAGGGTCCCGGTCCTACATAAGGTGGCAAAATTTGGCCCTCGAAGCGACCGTGGATCCCCGATCTGCAGGCCCGGATCCGGATGCTGAAGATCCGCCAAGACCTGCGGTAAAGCGCCCCGACTATGAAACCCCGCGTGAAATACTGCAATGACTAAGGCCGACGGCAATCAAGTGTCTGAAGGGCTGATCAAGTGAAGATCAAGAGGTCTTTGACCACTCATCTTCAGATGATCCGCCGTCGGACAATCCGCCGCTGGATTGTCGACCGTTGGATGTGGCGTCTGTCGGCAGTGATGAGTCGGATCTGTCGTCTATCGCAGATGAAGACTCTATGTCACATGTAGCGACAGTCGTGAAGGCGGTGGACGATCAGGACTCAGGCATATCCGGTATTCCAACGGCGGGTCTGGTCCTGGTCGAAGATCCAGCCGTGAAAACAGTATTGGCAGATGAAGCTCTAAGTGGAGTAACTGGTGCGGATCAAGATCCACCAGTCCAAGAAATTCAAGATCCGAAGGTGGTGATGTTGAAAGGTGATGGGTCACACCCATCATCATTGATGGATGTAGAATCTGGGACGGGCCATAAGTTGGGTGATCCGTTGGACCAGAAGGACGCCATGTCTATGTCGCATAAAAGGACGAGGATCCGGCGGCTGTTCCTGAAGATTAACCTGACACATCGGATCTGGATCTCACTTGGGACTCGGATCAGGATTACGACGAATGCATATATTACCATGAAGGCAGTGATCTCTACGCCGAAGATGTCGACGGACAACTAGCGGTACTGCCCGAAGTCCCAGCAACGACGGAAGACGTGAGGATAGAAGATATTCAAGTGTGCGGATCCGACAATCAGACGCCGGAAGAAATCGACCGACTCCGCAAGCGGATCTGGAAGTTCCGACATCTCCTAATCAGCAAAGGAAATGCGCTCCCACCAGCAGCCCGAGGGGTTGCGTGTGATATTGATGTGGGTGGAGCTCGGCCGGTCGCGCTTAAGTGCCGTAAGCTGCGGATACTGTTCCGAGAGAATTTGGCAGAGTTGATCAAGGGTCTCCTGTCAGCCAAGATGATCAACCACTGAAGATCTCCATGGGCATCGTCGATCGTCGTGATCATCAAGAAGAATGGTGTGGATATACGACTGTGTATTGATTATCGGTTGGTTAGCAGTCTGACACAGCTGATGGTTTACCCGATGCCGCTGATCAACGATCTACAGGAGGATCTCGAGTCTACATTGTGGTATTGCTCCCTTGATATGGCGAGTGGGTTTTGGCTGGTGAAGATGATGGATCGAGCCCCCCTGATCTCGGCCTTTATCACCCCATTTCGACTTTTCGAGTGGAATGGGATGCCTTTTGGGCTGAAGAATGCGCCGCAAATCAACCAGCGAATGATCAACAACGCCTTGTATGGGTTCACTCGGATCCCGAAAACGGCAGGTGATCTGGAGTGTCCGGATATATATGCAAAGCCGGAGAACCTGAAGATCCAGGCAAACCATCGGTAGATCCTACATCGACGACATCTTAGTACCAGAGGATCATTGGGATCAGTTATGTGACCGAGTCGAAGGTCTTCTGGAGACGTGAGGCAAATTGAACTTGTAGATCAGCGTTGTCAAGAGTTTATGGGGCATGCCCAAGGTGGAATATTTCGGTCACAAGGTATCGCACGATGGCTTAGAGGCGAATCCGAAGGATCTGTCGGCATTGACGGATCTCGGGTTTCCCGGATCCCTGTGTGCCAAGCAACCCTTTTGGGTAGCCTGAAATATTATAGTCGCTTCATCGATGATTATGCGATATACGCGTCTGTGCTATCTGAGTTGAGGGCGATCGATTATGCTGCGATGGGTAAGGGCATAAATGGAATATGGATTCAGCTATCACTAGCGTCGGAATCCCCGGATCCGGACATGTTGACTGAGGATCCAACAAGTCCGCATCCCTCGGATCCGGATCCGCGGGGTCCGGATCCCGAACTTAGCAAGCAAGATCCGAACCGGATTGTGTCACGGGATCCGATACCCTACTGCGTGAAGGTGTCGAACCCCGAGAGGGACAGTTTTGCAGATCTGATCCCCGGTGGGTCCATGCTCACAGATCCTTCAAGGTCCTAAAGGAGAAGATCGCGAAGACACCGATCCTGCATCACTTCGATCCTGATCGGCAAGCTGTGGCAATTGTAAATGCCAGTGATTTAAACGATCTCCGGTGCATTGATGCAAGAGTATGATCAGAACTACTATCCAGTGATACTCCCGAGCCGTACGTTGAAGTCCAATGAATTAAATTACGGGATCGCGGAGAAAGAGATGTTGCATTTTTGCGGATCCTGGATTTCAACTATAATACTTTAGTTGGGAGACCAATCGGAGTGCTGACGCGGCATTCTACACTGGCTTGATAATTTAGATTCAATGCATTACAAGGTCGCCTGGGACAGTGGGCCGCGCCACTTTCACCCTGGATCCTCGAGACCGTTAAGTGTAACAAGGGAGAGGATGAAATCTTGGGCACATTAACAGCCAGTATTACTCCCAGATCCAAAGTCGACAAAGCACTGATCTTGATCGCCCCGAAGAAGGAGCCGAGACGCAAGGTCCAACCCCGATCCCGACAGTGAGATCGGATGAGGATCTGTATGTCGCTAGCTTCGACGGATCTGCCCGTGTCAAGCGATGTGTAGGCGCCTACATCGCGATCCTGTGAAAGTTATCTGAGTGGACTGTGGTGAAGGACAGATCCGGCTATGCCGAAGGCTTAACCGTCAATGAGGCCGAATACCATGGCCGTTTGGTTATCTCTTGACTTGCAAGAACGGACGGAGCCATTACGACTGGTGATCGGTGGCGACCCAAACTTGGTGATCCGCCAAATTAGAGGTGAAATCGACTGCAAGGCGCCTGGACAGACATTACTCAGACAGAATGCGTTAGACAGACTGCGGATCCGGCCGGTTCATGAGTTGGTACATGTGAAGCGGTATTGGAACGGAAGTGCAGATAGTCGGGCTAGTGCTGCACTGCAATCACAATGTAGACTTAAGATCGAAACCGATAGCGACATCCAGGATCTGATCACGTTGAACCGACTGGACGAGATATTGGTGGTGGAATCCCACGATCCGGCAGTGCAGATCTCAGCCGTTACAACTAGATCAAAGGCCAGATCCGGCGTGAGATTGGGATCCAACTCCCCGGTAGTGTGCGAGGAAGTGATCAGAGAGCTAAGGATCGAGCGGATCCGACAGACACAGGACGAAGAGGCTTGGATCCACAATTTGAAAAAGTATCTGGTTGGTGAGATACGCAATCTGACGCAGGAAGAGGTCAGATCTTGCGGATTCATCGCAATGAAATATGAAGTGGATGAGCATGATCTCCTTTTCTATTGCCCCACTACGAAGGAATCAGCTGCAGATCGGGACAAATTGATGTGCCTGGTGTTACCTGAAACGCTGCATCAAGATGTTCTACATCATTATAATATCAGCCTCCAAGGTGGACATCAGGGGATCGGCCGTACTTACGATCGAATCCGGGATCATTTCCACTGGAGAGGATTGTACCGGAGTATGCAAAGATATGTCGGGGAGTGTGTGGATTGCGAGATTGGAAAAGGGCGACCCAGGATCCAGGGTGAATCGCCGGGTATTCTTCAAGCAACTTATCCATTCCAGATCATCGCTATGGATCATATCCCCTCATTGCCCAGATCATATAAAGGTAACACTGAGTTGTTGGTCTTCGAGAATTTCTTCTCTGGTTATGTGATCGCAAACGCGAGCGGCTCAGGCTGTGGCAGAATCCTACTAGGAATGTGTGTTTCGCTGATTTGGTGCTAGCGAGGTGATCCGCCATGATCGTGAACCTGGGTTTATGTCCGATTTCTTTCGCGTGTTTAACAACATCTTGGATCAGCGTCAACGTGCAACAATGGCATATAGACCTCAGGCGAACGGATCTGCGGAAAGGATGGTGCAGACCACCACAAGGCCACTTTAGATGTATGTTCAAGATCTGGATCAGCGAGATTGGGACGAGTACGCGGAGCAACTTACCTTCGTGATCAACACAGCTCGGGATCGGATCCGTCGAGAGACGCCGTTCTACATGGTCCACGGCTGGGATCCGAGATCCACACTGGAGGCGGTGATCTTGTTGGAAAGTACAAGAAGACAGAATCGGGATCCGCGGAGATGGCGATATCGGATCCAGAGACATTACCAACAGGCTCGAGAACAAGTGAATCTGCGCTTACGGGATGCGATCTCGTATCGGGCGGATCAGCACAACGATGTAGTGCGCCCGCATCAAGTCGAGGCCGGATCCCGAGTGTGATTATACCTGGATCGGGTGCGAGTGGGATATGCAAAGAAGCTTGCGCGTCTGTGGCATGGCCCTTTCCGTGTGGCCGAGAAGATCGGTGAGTATGCAGTGAAACTCGAGATCGCCGGATTCGCATACAATATCTTCCCCGTGGACCACGTGTCAAAGATCAAGCCTGTCAGAGAATTCCCGAATCGGCCGGTAATACGACTTACGACGCAGGATCAAGATCGGCTGGATTCCGACGAAGAACCCTTCCTGGAGATAGATGGATTCAAGATCGCGATCCGGATGAGTATGAGGTTGAAAAGATTTCGGATATGAGGAGTGACAGGAGAACAAGATACGGTCGGATCATGCGTGAATTCTTAGTACACTGGCGTTGGTACGAGGATCCGACCTGGATCGACGAGGCAGATCTCAACAGAGGAGCAATGCTCCACGAGTTCTTGCGGGATCGCGCCAATCAGAACCGGTTCGGCGTCATGCAATCTCACGAAGAGGACTGAGGGCAAGATCCGCATAGGTGAGTTGGTCACCAATGCGGGAAGTTTGAGATGAAGGGTCTGCAGGAGGGCTGCAGATCGGAGGAAGGTAGGTACATATTTAGGTTATATGATAGTGTGCCGAAATCTGCTAAAGTCCAGATCCAAGACACTAAGGAGATGGATCACGATGTATGGACTCAATATCCGAGATGATGTGAATGCGGATCACTCTGCACGAAATAAGGGCGAACGATCAGTGGAAGGAACGGAAGAGAACATATATTAATGGAGAGATCACAGATCTGTTAGAGCAGCAGATTCAGCGGGTACTTCAGGATCGGCGGGCGTATGAGGATCCGTGGGCGAGTCGCGTCAGGCGCTCTCCATGCCAAAGAATTTCTCCACCAGCCGAGAGATCCGATGCGCAGGATGATCAGCCGCAGAAGTGCGGTAATGATTGTGCCAAGGATCCGCTTCGTCACACTCAGTGAGCGCCTCAACCAGGTTGACCGGATCCGGTGGACCAGCACGACGCGCTTTAATCCCTGGGTACCAAGTCACCTCATCGGAACTTTTTGGAAAATGTAAGAAGAATGGATCCAGTAAGAGATCGATACCACACCAACCTTCTTGCATCACCAAAACAAATATGGGCAAGATCATGCGCCAGCGATCGCCAGCGTGTGATCGCCGATTGTTGCGCGCCTTACAGAGGGCCGCCAGACGTGGATCATCCGCACACATACGCTTGGTGATCGCGAGCTTGTGTGTGGATTCCCAGTATACAATGAGATTGCGGAGTTCCAACTGCAAATATTCGTCCAGGAAGACGCCAAGTCGACCACCCACTAGGATCTCGAAACAGATCGGGTCGGGCACATTGCCACCACCCAGGATCTCCCAAGGGGATTCGTCGAGGAGAGCCTCGATGTTGTCGGCGGTAATCAGATGAGCGCAATAATCTGCATCCGAGGGAGGACGGCATCTCGGCGTGTGGTGAGGTTAGATCCACTCAGGTCGGAATGGCAACGCAGTCGCGAGAAGATCCACTGTCATTATCATGATCGACCATCGACACAGATCATCCAATAGCCAAGGATCGATATCAGCTGCCGAAAATGCACGAACTTGGGTGCGCCCAGGACTACATAAGTCATCGGCGAGAGGATCCTGAGGTAGCATGGCCGGATTAGGAGGTGGACTATTGCTGGCGGACCGATCGGCAGGAGGATCTGGAGCATCATCGCCGTCGTCACCAGATCCATCTGGATCACCGCCTCCACCACCACCAGTACGCCGCGGAGAAGCGTGATCACGCCGAAGTTGTGCGGATCGCGATTGGGCAATGGCTCGAAGGGTATCCTCCTCGAACATATAGTTCGCAACCTCCTCAATCTCATGATTGGTGGAGGGAGCAGAACTATCCGGATCCGTGGTATCTTCACGATCTTCGTCGTTGTCTGCAGTGTGATCCTTGGTCTCTTCGTCACCGCCAGTAAGATCCAAGATCTGCGGTTGAGGGCCACCATCATCCTGAGGCACTGGTGCGGATCCCTCAAACTTGCGTTTCGACGGCGTATTATCGCTGCTTGAGGTACCGGATCCACCGAGTTCTTGGGCGGCTTCTAGTGGATCGAACGAAGAAGACGAACCCTCCAGATCTGGATCCTTCCTGCGATCCTGGCCGCCAAACTCATTATCGTCTGGGTCGTCATCTTGCGGAGATCCGCCACCCATGTCGATATCTGCAGGTTCTTCAGCCAGATCCTCGTCATCTTCGTCCTCTAGGGGTTGCGATTTACGCTTGGAAGGGCGAATGGGGATGGGAAGAAGAAGATGGACTACACGATCGCTTGGATCCATTCTTAGTAGGGGAGTCAGATTCGCCAGTGGACGGATCCTTACCATTTCCAAGTGATTTTGACCCAGCTGGCAAGGGGCGTCCGTAGGTGGTGAGTCGGTGTCAGGATCCTTGGGTGACGCACCTCCGTCATTTTCGATAGGAGGATCTCGATCCGACTCAGAGCCAAGAGTCAATGAGGTGGTCGAGGGTGAGGATCCCATGCCGTTGGCGATCTGACCAAGTATGCGCAGAGTCCGACGAAGTTCCTGCCGAAGATCCGTCCGATCTACAGTGAGAATGTCGATGTCCGTGGAAAGGGCCTGTATCCGCGCAGTACGTTCGGTGATCGTGCGCTCCCGTTGCCCATAAGCTTCTCTTGCAATGCCTACATCATGATCTGCACACGAGAATATATGGCAAGGTGATACTGGAGATATATATGCAAGATCAAGATACTCACCCCGAGCGGTGGCGTCGACATGGAGGCGATCGCACTCTCGAGTAACTTCTTCGAGCTTCTTCTTGGCCGCAGCTAATTGGTTTCGCTCCTGATATTTGTCGTCGATGATCTTTTGCATCTTTTGGCTGAGAGAAGCGACCTCGTTTTGCCGGATCTGGATCTTCCGGAGGGCAGCATCGCATTCTACCTTGTCTTGAGCGAGCAACGACTTAGGATTTCCATCACTAGAGGAGGCGAGATCCCGTGTCCAACCGCGTGATTTCGGCTCGAGAGAGTCTCAGCAACTCGTCCATGTTATGGAGGCGCTCCTCAACCTCAAGACGAGCAATATCGCCACGCTGATGTTCATCATGAAGATCCGCAATTTCCTCACTTGATTGTTGAACATCTGCAACCAGACCATCGCGATGAGAAGAAAGATCGTCGCGCTTCCGGAGCAGATCGTTGCGTTCTCGCGTCAGCCGGTCACATTGGTCAACCAAAGGAGCAACTTGGGCCTCGAGATCTGCAACTTGGGATTCCAGAGTGTGGATCCGGTGACTTTGGTCTTCGGGTAGATTGCGGCACTACGATCCAGAGTGTCTACAGCGAAGTCTCGATCCCGACGTACTCGTTGGATATCTTGCTGCATGAACGTGATCACCCCGTCCTGTTCGTGAAAATAATCCTGCAGAGCGCGGAGATTCTCAGCAGCGACGAGATCCTCGTCAGCGTCCATAGCGGCGCCAGCTGCTAGACAAGCTTGGGGCTCACCAGTGCGTCGAAAGAGTTCTACTGAGATCTGACACGATGCGGGTGAACGCTTTTCGTGTTGGTGTATAGCTTGCCTAGGTCCGAAGTTCCGACTGGACTTCGTAGTCTAGAACAGACCCAAGTGGAGTAATCCAAGTGGGTTGGCGTGTGTTCCTTGTATTCAATCCCTATAGGTTCGAACCCGTAAGACCCGAAACCAGGGAGATACACCGTAATGAGTTCCTGAGATGGATGAAGGTGTTAGTGTATGGGGTAGAACGTAACTTCCTTAGACGTCACCACCGATAGCACCGATAACCAAATACAAATATACATACAATGAGTTATACGCACAAATATGTAGGCCTTCCTTATTCTTTGAGACCGTGGAAAGCTCGGTCACTCGTCCAGTTCAACTAGACCACAATA